CCACCAATTTTGTAACAAACTGTTTTTTGAGTTGACCAGCTTCCATTTTTGACTACAAAATGATACTATATAAGAAGCATTTGTTAAATCGATTGGCATAGTTTCTTCTGACAGCAGAACCAGCACAACTCAACAATGAAATTCGTATGTTTGAGAAGGATTTAATTTAGTGATTATTATTAATTGTTAACATTACAGATCATTGCTTTCGCCGCTCTCGTTGCCGTAGCTTTGGCTGCTCCACAATACAAGGAAGAGAAGGATGCTTATGTAGTCAGACAGGAAGTGGATAACATTGGTGTTGATGGTTACAAACAAACGTAAGATTATCATCGATTATTGATTTAGTTCAGTAGTTTATACCATTTAAATTGTTTTAGTTATGAGACCAGCAACGGAATCTCCGCCTCTGAGCAAGGACAAGTTATCAACGCCGGCCAAGAAAACGAATCTATTGCCGTTAAGGGTGAATACAAATACTTGGAGATGATGGCAAACCTACACTGTTACCTATGTAGCTGAGAGAATGGTTTCCAACCACAAGGAGCTCACATCCCACAAGCTGAACATTAAATATCGAATTGATTATGTATATTTGTATAAAATTATATATTAAACTTATTTATTTCATCATAATAATTGTAGTTTTGTATTTCCATTATTATCCTCAAATACTTCACATTTTATTATTTATGAATAAATTTTTATTAAACTATGTGAAATCTAATATAAGCTTATTCATTCATTATTAGAACATTGTCTTCTTTCATTATGAATTTAACAAATGTTCTGTTGCTTTTTCCTATATTGAAAAAAATCATATGAATCCTGAAGCATTAACTTCAGAATAATGAGAATATTATATATTTTACCATATATTAACATAATTCCTAAATGAAATATGTATTTCAAAATTATATGTAATACATTAAAAACAGTTATCAAAAATTTAGAACTAGTGACTGCTCTAATTTTGATATATTTTGAGAATAATCGAAGGTAGTTGAAATAACTATAACAATTATTTAATATTGAAATTATTGAGAGTATTTGAAAAGCAATTCTATTCTAGATAATTAAAAATTAAGCAAAAACTAATATTATATTTTACTGTCTATTCAGTATATCCAAATCACTATTTAATTATCTCATATAATTATTTTATACATATTCATTTCTTAAAATATAAAACATTACTAGAATAAATTTAATTATCTAACAATGTGAAGAAATAATTCATAATTATTAATATAATTGTAAATAATTATATAATTTACATTCCTGTTATTTATTTTAATTGTATGTGTAATTAACAATTAATGTAATTTATATATTTCATTAATGGTAACATTATAAACTTTATATTAAAATTAAAATTGAAGAAATGTCGTCATTACATTAAAAATGAATTAATCAATCAAATCATTTTATTATCTAATGTAATATAGTTTAGTAAAAGTATCGCTAAAGGCCACCAATTTTGTAACAAACTGTTTTTTGAGTTGACCAGCTTCCATTTTTGACTACAAACTGATACTATATAAGAAGCATTTGTTAAATCGATTGGCATAGTTTCTTCTAACAGCAGAACCAGCACAACTCAACAATGAAATTCGTATGTTTGAGAAGGATTTAATTTAGTGATTATTATTAATTGGTAACATTTCAGATCTTTGCTTTCGCCGCTCTCGTTGCCGTAGCTTTGGCTGGTCCACAATACAAGGAAGAAAAGGATGCTTATGTAGTCAGGCAGGAAGTGGATAACATTGGTGTTGATGGTTACAAACAAACGTAAGATTATCATCGATTATTGATTTAGTTCAGTAGTTTATACCATTTAAATTGTTTTAGTTATGAGACCAGCAACGGAATCTCCGCCTCTGAGCAAGGACAAGTTATCAACGCCGGCCAAGAAAACGAATCTATTGCCGTAAAGGGTGAATACAAATACGTTGGAGATGATGGCCAAACCTACACTGTTACATATGTAGCTGATGAGAATGGTTTCCAACCACAAGGAGCTCACATCCCACAAGCTGAACATTAAATATCGAATTGATTATGTATATTATGTATAAAATTATATATTAAATTTATTTATTTCATCACAATAATTGTAGTTTTGCATTTCCATTATTATACCTCAAATAGTATGTTTTAATAAACTATGTAAAATCTAAAGTTGAAGATTATTCTTTTAATATTTATTTTTAGGACATTCTCTCTTCGAGTTGTTTTTTAAATTTAGAAAATGTTCTTCTTTTTCCTTCTTTGAATAATATTTAAGTATACTCAAACGAAAATATGAATCCTGAAGCCACTGATTTTAGAATAAAGAGAATATTATTTATTTTAACATAATTGCAAGAGAAAATACGTATTTCAAAATTGTATGTTATACATTGCAAACAGTTACCAAAACTTTAGAACTATTGACTACTCCAATTTTTCAAAGTATTTCGAAGCAATTCAATCCTAGTTAATTATAAATAAAGCAAAAATGTATGTAATGTTATACGTCTAATTAAAAACTCAATATAATTATTTTGTTCATATAGAAATGTTCAAATATAAAACAATACCAATATTAAATAAACGAACGATGTGCAAAAATAATGAATAATTATTAATATAAATTAATTTATATAATTATATAGCTTGCATTCATTTTCTTAAATAATTGTAAATGTTAATATAAAATGTGTATATTGATAGTAATATGGTATACAAAACAAATGTTACCAATGTATTTAAAACCCACATTTTTAGAATTAAAAATGAAAAAATGTCTTGGTTACAATAGATAACATTAAAAATAAATCAATGTATCAATTCAAATTAATATTCAATGTAAGATATTTTAGTAAAAGTGTCGCTAAAGGCCACCAATTTTGCAATAAACTGTTTTTTGCGTAGACTAGCTTCCATTTTTTAACAACAAAATGATACTATATAATAAGAGTCTATTGAATCTATTGGCATAGTTAGTTCAGACAGCAGAACCAGCACAACGCAACAATGAAATTCGTATGTTTTGGAAGGATAAAATTTATTGATTATTATTAATTGCGAACATTTCAGATCTTCGCTTTCGCCGCTCTCGTTGCCGTAGCTTTGGCTGCTCCACAATACAAAGAAGAGAAGGATGCTTATGTAGTCAGGCAGGAAGTGGATAACATTGGTGTTGATGGTTACAAACAAACGTAAGATTATCATCGATTATTGATATAGTTCAGTAGTTTATACCATTTAAATTGTTTTAGTTATGAGACCAGCAACGGAATTTCCGCCTCTGAGCAAGGACAAGTTATCAACGCCGGCCAAGAAAACGAATCTATTGCCGTCAAGGGTGAATACAAATACGTTGGAGATGATGGCCAAACCTACACTGTTACCTATGTAGCTGACGAGAATGGTTTCCAACCACAAGGAGCTCACATCCCACAAGCTGAACATTAAATATCGAATTGATTATGTATATTGTGTATAAAATTATATATTAAATTTATTTATTTCATCATAATAATTGTAGTTTTGTATTTCCCATTATTATACTTCAAATACTTCACATTTTATTATTTTTTTATAGTTTACTTTGACACGAGTTTTGGCAATGGCATTTGTCATTAAATAATGGTTAACATTTAACATGTAGAATAAAAACTTATTATTTTTATCTTAATATTTATAACATTCGCTTGTTTGAATTTTGTTCTTTTTTGGCTGGTACTTTTTCTTAATTGAATAATATTTAAGTATACTTAATGAAAAATCTAAGGAGTTAATGGTATTAGTATAATAAAGTATATCATATTTATTCATATTTAAACATAATATTATATGTTTCAATATTATATAATTTTTAATTGACAATCAGCAGTAGTTAAAATAAAGAACATAGTTGAAATATTTTAAAGTTAATATCGTTATTATTGTCAATTTCTGCTAAGATATAAAACAATAATAGGATTTAATTAATTTCATTTAATGATATGAAGAAATAATATTTAATAAGTTGAGATTTATTATTAAATAATAAGACAAAAATAATAGTAATATTTATTATTTATTGTTTATTATTATATTATTTAGTTGTATATGGAATTAACAATTAAAGTGAAAAGTATATATTAATATAAATTTATAATTATGTAAAACAAATGTAAACAATGTATTTGAAAACCATATTGTTAAAATTCAAACTGAATTTAAGTAGAAGTGAATCAACCAGTAAAGGTCGCGATAAATCTTATTTCGCAACATTGTTTTGGGAGTGTATACGTGAGTTCTATATGGAATTTCGAGTATAAAAGATGATTCGTCTCAGATGTCCAGCATATTCAGTTGAAAACCACAACGAACAACAACCGCAACAATGAAATTGGTACGTCTCCAACAAAGAGAAATAGTGTTTCTGCGTTCTTGATATTAACAGTGTTTAATATTTAATTTGCAGATTTTAGCTTTCGCCGCTCTCGTTGCCGTAGCTTTGGCTGCCCCACAATACCAGAACGATAAGGATGCTTACGTCGTGAGGCAAGAATTAGATAACATCGGCGTCGATGGATACCAACAAGCGTAAGATTATTTTCAAATCAAATTTTTGATGAAATTGTCTAAATTACTCTTGTTTTTGGTTAGTTATGAAACCAGCAACGGAATCTCTGCCTCTGAACAAGGACAAGTCATCAACGCTGGCCAAGAAAACGAATCCATCGCCGTCCGTGGACAATTCTCCTACGTAGGACCAGATGGTGTCACCTACACTGTAACCTATATTGCCGATGAGAACGGTTTCCAACCACAAGGCGCTCACATCCCAAAAGATGATCACTAAAGCGTTAACTTTGATACAAAAATTAGAATAAATTAAATTATTTTTAGTAGAGTTATTTGTTTTACTTTCATTCAATTAGTTTAAAGTTAAATACTTTAAACAATCATAACACAAGTTTGAAAATAATTTGCAACTTTTCCCCTGGATTTGAAAAGGAGAAAATAATAAATTAATTGAATTATATAGGTTTATCAAATCTATTCACACAGACAATATACTTATAAATATAAACAAATACCTTTTATTTGGTAAACGTCTTAATAATTTAATTTTTATCACATTTGTGGTAATTCACACAAATTTGCCGACTTCTGCTCTAGAAGAACTTCTATTTTTTGGTTCATACAAAAATATTAAAAAATAAAAAAAATTGGTAACTACATCAATGAAAATAAAATATTAGTATTTTTTTATACTAACAATAAAATCCAATGTGTAAACATGAAGGATCTCAAAGATAATTTTGCAGATGTAATTTTAAGGAAATCGTAATTAATTGCAATATATTACATTTACAATATTCACGGTCTATTAATATCAATTATTTTAACCTAATATTTATTAATATACTAAAAAAAAAATATAATTTCCTGAAGTAAGCAATTAATAAGTAATACAGTTGTAAAAACTAATAAGTTTACTAATTCTTTATTTTTCATTATAATTCACTTAAAATGTATTTATTTTTAATTGGGTATCCCTAGAATCCTTTAATATCACAGGTAAATGTGAAAATTGTAGTATATTTCATTGCACCCCAATAAATGTTTACTTGATAGGTAATTTCCGTAGAATTTTGGTAGTGGTAGTTATTATAAATATATATCTTAGTTTTTATAAAATCATGGGATAATCCCAGGATTCCCAGGATAATCAAGAAGATTGTTGTTGGTATTTTGATCCACTCACCGGGGAAGATTTCTATTTGGAGATAACAATACTTCCAACGAAAACTAATGTCTAGATCAGAAACCAAAGATCAAGACGACTGATACACCTAAAGACACGCCACCGTACATAAAGAGATGTTCATCAGCTCCAGACGCATCACCGAAACGTAAAGTTGAAAGCACGAGAAGAGTTCCGTTTGAGGATGAGTATTTGAGCAAAATAGAATTATCTCTTCCGAATGATAACGAGATCTCCAAGATCTCGCAAGAGTATCAGATGAAAACGACCAGGATGATGATGAGTATTCGAAATACCATGTAGTAAGCAGTGCAGATAAGTTGAGAAACAAGGATGCAGATAATCTAAGATTTAAAAAAAATAAATCATGTAAATATTATAATTAAAATTAATATGTTGTATTATTATTTGTTGAACATCACCTGATTTTAAATAAATGTACAAATTAGAAGTTTTTACTCACAGTTTTATTTTAAATTGAGAATCAACTCGATGTTTTGGTATTCTTTGTAGCAGTTCATCATTTTTTTTTTCATTATTTTTGTATGAATTTTTATTTTTTCTTATTTTGATATTAATATGAATACCAAAATTTGATAATTATTATATATATTTCCGTAATTTATGTGAAACGACCGAAGGAATTTTGTCAAAATTAATAAATATGATCTATTTAATAAGTAAATGAATTTATGAAAATAATAAATGTTATTTTAGTGAATAATCCATTATTCTAATTAATAATATTGAAAGACGATCATAAAATTTAAATAAAACTTGGGCAATCCTAGAAGAAGAAAAGGTCACGAAAACTCTTCTTTTGTAATGATGATGTGTGCGGCTTTGTTTTTTTTATTGCTTACGAAAAAATCCACGTATAAAAGACGTTCGAATTTTACGATTTGACATAATTCGTTGAATCGCCAAACCAGCAGCACGAAAATGAAACTGGTAAGTTGGATGGTGCGAAAGAAGCGATGACGACATGCATTAATTGTGTAATTTGCAGATCATCGCCTTCGCCGCTCTCGTTGCCGTAGCTTTGGCTGCTCCACAACACAAAGAGGATAAGGACGCTTACGTCGTGAGGCAAGAATTGGACAACATCGGCGTCGATGGTTACCAACATGCGTAAGTCAACATAAATGCGTGAATTTGAATTGGTGTTGATATGCATTTGCTTTAGTTATGAGACCAGCAACGGAATCTCCGCTTCCGAACAAGGACAAGTCATCAACGCTGGAACTGAAAACGAAGCCATCGCCGTCCGTGGACAATTCTCTTACGTCGGTGCTGATGGTGTCACTTACACTGTTACCTATGTAGCTGATGAGAACGGTTTCCAACCACAAGGAGCTCATATCCCAAAAGATGATCATTAAACGATTTTAACAAATATAATGTAAATAAAATGTGACTGATTTTAAAATTCTTTAAAGAATATTAAATTATTTTGAAATATATATAGTCTTTTTATTGTTTTCAATTGTCGTGTCCCGGGATTAAGATAATCCACAGTGTCCAATGTGGATTATCTCATAGTTATGATCCTACCCAAATATTTAGGGGCAGAAGTGTAACCGTCCTTCGGAATATTCCACAAGTTATTCTAAATAATCACGTACAAGTACCCGTTTTTATATTTGATGGATACGTGAAATATTATTTGTAATAATTAAGAGGAAAGTGGTAGACTTTACAAATATACATACATGGTTATATACATATTGGTTATATAATAGATGATAATAAATTGGTCAGCCACGACACAAGTCGATATACAGATTTTATTAAGAAATAACTGAATTTTATTCTATACAAAAAAATATATTGAACAACATTATATGTATTAAAAATGTACATTTTCTAAATTATCAAATTAATTAGATAGAATTGAGATGCAACTTAATAAGTGGACCAAAAAATAACAGTTTCTTCATTTAATTTTGATGATCATTTTATAGGTGATGATTAATTTGTGTTCACTTTTCTCAAAAACTTATTCTGAAAAATGCAATTAGCAAAAATATTATCAATAAAATAGAACAGATTTTTTTAGCTATTAATTAGTTTTAATTATATAAGATTAGATTAATTCAATCTATCTATACCAGAGAAAGTAATACTTGGGTTAATATAATAGAGATATATAAGTTTGGATAATGACCATACAATTACTGATATAATGTATGTATTACAGAATGATATTAAAAATCATATATTCAAATTGATTGTTAATGAGTAAAGTATCTTCGAACTGTTTATTCAAGAACACAATTCAATCGATATATATTTTAATATTTTTTTTTTAATTTTTTCTATATTTGTTTAAAAAACTGTAATTAATTTGTGGGATAAAATGCATGTTAAACAAGTTTGTAAATATTTATTTCTCTATTTAGGCTAATTTGAGAGAAAATACAGATATTTTTTCTTATTTTTTTCTTAATATATTATTTTAAATTTCTTTTAAATTTTTTGAATGATTGTAGTAATTTCGGTGTTAATTTTCACAAAAATATAATGATTTTTTATTCGTATAAATCTGATACATAAAATGTATTAGTCTATGAATAATAAATGTCAATATATTAAATTAAATATTTGCGACAAATAAATGCAAAAAAATGAAATTCCTAATTTAATAGCGTATATCGAAGATGATTCTAAAATTTTGGTAAAAGTGATCGAAGGTCATCAAAAATTTTGCAACATTTTCTGTGTTGGTGTATTATTATTACTTTTTTAAGAAACATCTACAAGTATAAAAGGTGAACCGTGTAAAATACTCGTCACAGTTAGTTGAATCAACAAACCGACAACATGAAATTGGTGTGTTAAATACTTTCAACAGATACAAGAGACGTTTACTAATTGCGTAATTTGCAGATCATCGCTTTCGCCGCTCTCGTTGCCGTAGCTTTGGCTGCTCCTCAACACAAGGACGAGAAGGATGCTTACGTAGTCAAGCAGGAATTGGACAACATTGGCGTCGATGGATACCAACATGCGTAAGTCTATTATAAACGCGTGCATTTCAATAGGTTTTCATATAAATTTTCTTCAGTTATGAGACCAGCAACGGAATCTCTGCTTCCGAACAAGGACAGGTCATCAATGCCGGAACTGAAAATGAAGCTATCGCCGTCCGTGGACAATTCTCTTACATCGGAGCTGATGGTGTCACTTACACTGTAACCTATGTAGCTGATGAGAACGGTTTCCAACCACAAGGTGCCCATATCCCACAACCAGAATACTAATCAAGAAATATGATGAAAATAGCACTCGACTGATTTTAAAATTATTTGATGAAAATTAAATTATTTTATTGTTTTAAATTGTAATTTTACTACTCTAATTCCAAACCCTTTGTTGCATCCATATTAAATGACTGTTTTGATGGTGACACATCAATCAAATTTGACATTGTCAATAAATTATATGATCAAGTAACCTGGATGCAACATTTAAGCAATCAAGATATTATGAATAAGTAAAGTATTTCTGTGACGACAATAAACTACATTATATTTTACTATTACTTCATATAAATATTTTTAAAATAAAAATGGTATCAAATATAACAATACAAATTTTCGATAATAAACTACTAATATCATCAACTTTCTCATTTTACAAAAATTAAGTTAGAATCACTTTATTAATTATTTATTTATATAATAATACATATTTTCTTCCATTACTAGTAGAATAATACCAGTTCTTAAGAAAAAGTAATATAATTGAATAATAAAAAACTTCTTCATAAATTGCTTCATCGATGCCAAAATAGGCTCTCTGGACTTACAGTTACAACTGTTTAAATATTTTCGTTTAAATATTATATTGATAGTTAAATTAATAACAATTATACTTCTTCATCTTTCACGTAAGTTAAACATTCCTTCCTTTAAGAATTTATAAAGATTTTAGCTTTCCAATAATAGAAAAGTATCAAAGTCTACAATGCATTTTATTTTGCACATTTGCAACCCAATTTATTAAAATATTATTTAAACTAATTATTAGTATTAGTTTTAACATTATTTCAGCATTTTTATTAATCATATAATAGAGAATTTCCGCAATATTATGCAAATAATTAAATTTATTGCACTAATATAATTGAGGAAAAAATTTACTAGAATTATGCAAAATAATTATCTCGAAATTATGTTGTGGATTGTTATATCTAATATATTTTAGTATTTTAATATACTATTATTAGAACTAATTCTAAAGCTTCAATATACTTCATTTGTAGTAACTAATAGCAATAGAAACAGTACCAAAATCTTTATTTCTAAGTCGCATTACACAAAATATTGCATATTAACTTGTATTGATTTGAAGAGGAACTTCCAAAAGTATTGAAATACAACCAGAACACGAGAAACAGATGGAACTATTACAACCAGAACTTCCGAAACCGTTCAAACCACGAAATGCAATAGTATCTGCTATAGTATGAGTATAAATTAATATGAGTTACTGTAATGTTACTAAATTATAAATAAATCATTATATCCCATCAATTCATTACATTACTTAATAAATGCAATTTTTCAATTAACTAAAGATTTACACACAGATTCACATAATTATGTCTATACATTATACAGTTGTTTTCTGATACAAAATAGAGGCAGGTAATAATTATAAATATGTAATAATTTTGTTTAAATAGTGTAAAAAGTTGAAGTATTAACCGTCATTCTTACACATAACTATTAGTAAAAGTGAATCTCTCGAAATATACGACCTTTACATTAGAGTGATTCTCATTATATTTTGCAACCGTTACTTTTTTACCAATAATTTTGTATATAAAAGCTGTGTCGTCTCTACATTTGATCATAATCAGTTGAATCAACAGATCTACAATACAAACATGAAATTGGTGCGTTAAAAAGTGTACATTAATGATTGGAATAAACAATAATCAAATAATTTGCAGATCATTGCTTTCGCCGCTCTCGTTGCTGTAGCTTTGGCTGCTCCACAACACAAGGACGAGAAGGATGCTTACGTAGTTAGACAAGAGTTGGAAAACATTGGCGTCGAAGGATTCAAACAATCGTAGTTTACAATATTCTTGTGGTTTTGGATTAAAATTAAAGTACAAATATATTTTTAGTTATGAAACCAGCAACGGAATTGCCGCTTCCGAAGAAGGACATGTGATCAACGCCGGAACTGAAAACGAAGCCATCGCCGTCCGTGGACAATTCTCTTACATTGGTGCTGATGGCCAAACTTACACTGTAACCTATGTAGCTGATGAGAACGGTTTCCAACCACAAGGCGAACATATCCCAAAAGATGATCATTAAAGACTTGTTAATAATTATGTAAAAAAAATGAAAAATCTCTGATTAAATTAAATTAATTTAACAACATATTACTTAATATTTATTTGCATTCCTATATATTCTATAAAATACATACATCTCGATACATTATATTATTTGAATGTAATGTTAAAAAAACCTATTTTATATAGTGAAATAAAAATGAATTATAATTTTCACTCAAGATATAATGAACAACATTTAATAATCAGACTTAATTAATGTTTTATTTATGTAACACTTATAAAGTACAATTTTGCTAATCAATTTTAAATGATTTATTGGTAATTCTCAGAGAGTAATATTGTTTGTAAATTAATCAGATCCTTTTGAGTTAGTTAATCAATAATTTTTTCCTTCAATATTTCGTACTTTAAATCATGTTGCTCAACTCAAAAAACATGTTTGTGGAATTTAAAAAAAACTATAATAACAATACCAAATAAAGTACCAATAATAATTACATTCATAATATGTTATTATTTTTAAAGTTAAATTTCTTGCTGTAACAAACCATACAGTTATTAACAGTTAAATTAAAAAAATTGACGAAAATATGTATTACTGCAAGAATAATTTCACTTTAATCTAAAGAACAATTACAACCCTTGTAGTACTAATATTTGAACCAAAGCGTTTTTCAATAACTTCTTCTTACAAAATATATTACGCGATAAATGTTTTTTTAATTAAAGTAAAATATTAATCAGAATTAAATGTTAAATTTCCATATTTTGTTATTTTTTTTGTATATCCTGTATTTAATACTAGACAGTAATATAATAAGCGAATGTATTTGAAATAAAATATAAATTTTCCATTTATTGCTCTCAATCTGTAATATATATGTAATATATATTTTTTTGTGAAATATTAAATGAACTGGGATTGATGATGGTGTATAATTAAATAATAAATATATTTAATTGAAGCATCAATCGTTATTCTTAGACATAACGCTGTAGTAAAAGTGAATCTCTCAAAATATACGACCTTTGCATCAGAATGATTCTCATTATATTTTGTAATCATTTTTTACTAATAAATTCGTGTATAAAAGCTGTTTCGTCGATACATTTGATCATAATCAGTTGAATCAACAGATCTACAACACAAACATGAAATTGGTGCGTTAACAAGTGTACATTAGTGATTGGAATAAACAATAATCAAATCATTTGCAGATCATTGCTTTTGCCGCTCTCGTTGCTGTAGCTTTGGCTGCTCCACAACACAAGGACGATAAGGATGCTTACGTAGTTAGACAAGAGTTGGAAAACATCGGCGTCGAAGGATTCAAACAATCGTAGTTTACAAATAGTTTTGTGGATTTTAATTATAACTAATGTGCAAATATGTTTTTAGTTATGAGACCAGCAACGGAATCTCCGCTTCCGAAGAAGGACATGTAATCAACGCTGGTACTGAAAACGAAGCTATTGCCGTTCGTGGACAATTCTCTTACGTTGGTGCTGATGGTCAAACTTACACTGTTACCTATGTAGCTGATGAGAACGGTTTCCAACCACAAGGAGAACACATTCCAAAAGCTGACCACTAAACTCTTGCCAACAATTATGTAAAAAAATGGAAAATCTTTGATTAAATTAAATTAATTTATCAATATATTACTTATTATTTATTTGAATTTTTATATATTCCACAACAACCATCAGACGAACACATCCCAAAATCAGAATATTAAATTTTATTACAAAAATGTGATGATAATAGCCTTCAACTGACAATTAAATATTTTATAATTTCAATTTATATATTATTTATTATAAATCCATTATGATATTCTGATGTCTGTATTCACAAATGTGAGATGAATCTTCAAAAAAATTAAGATATAAATCTTTTCCAAAGTAATTGTCGCAGGACTTCAATAATATACATACATTTTTCATTAAAGGTAGAATTTTATATTAATAAAAAATACCGAAACGTACATAAAAATACTGCAATATCTGAATAAAATAAATCACTAGTGTCAATTAGAAACAATGATATAGTACATTATACAAAAAAAATATTGCAAATGAAGTAAGAAAATTATTATAATAATAATATTTATATGACTTATATCTCTTTCTATTTGTATAATAAATGTTGTTTGTTATTCATATTTAGATCAGTTTTTCATTTTTAACTAAAGTTCAATAATTAAAAACATAAAAACCAAAATCTTACATTATGTACTGTGTTACTTAAAGTTATATTTTAATAATAAGTACATGTTAATATACATTTTAATTTAAAGTTTTGAAATTATTTCTAAAGTTCCAATTTATTTAGCGACTGTGTCTACAATAAAGCAAAACTTCTACCATTTACCAGAATCGCTTTATTACACTCTTAGTATTGAGCTACAACAAAACCAATGCTCTATTTTCTAAACTATGTTTCATTTCTGAAATGTATGAGGACTCTACCATTTTTTAATTAGCAGGTAAAATTCAAGACGTACTATAAATATAGTACATTTCTGTACATATATTCAGTTCAATATTGAAAGCCTATACGAGTTAAAGTACATTTATTTAGTTGCAATTAGTTTAGATACGAGAAGATGACCGAAACGATGAATACGTTCGCAAAGTACACAAGTTTAGAGTATGCTTAAATGCTACTCGCACGTGCTGATTCCTCAAACGCAGATTATTTTTATTTCATTTTTTTGTATTTCTTATTATAACACATTGATAATAACATAAGTTATAAATAATAATAATAAGTTAAATAAAATTTGTTATATAATATAAATTAATACAGAAATTTGTTTAAATAGAGTAAAAAAATATTAAAGCGTCAATCGGTTTTCTTACACATAACTCTTAGTAAAAGTAAATCTCGTGAATCTCTCGAAATATACGACCTTTACATCCATCCCAATAATTCACATTATATTTTGTAACCGTGAACATTTTTTACTAACATATTTGTGTATAAAAGCTGTGTCGTCTATACATTTGATCATAATC